TGGGGGGGTGGGGTGGAGGCTGCTGCACATCCGTTCTTTCTCTTTTTGGACCGCAAGCCACTCCTCTCTCAGGAAGGTGGAGGGAGGAGCCTTGGGCTGACAGCAGACAGCACAATCTTTCCATCCTAAATTCACTGAGGGTCTGTGTTGGAAGTGTCCAAGGTAAGTCTATGATCATCTCTCTCTCTGCTCCATCTGACAAAGATGGATTTTGAGTCCAGGGGTGGTATCTGACCTGGCAGCGAGACCTGAGGTGGTCAGTACCTAGACCCGCCTGTCTGAACCCTCTCCAACTGGGAAGAAATCCTTCAGCCCAAATTCTCTGAGGGGGGGTGGAGGAGCAAGACAGTGGGGACGCCACTGATTGGCCCTAAGTTTCTTGAGCCATCCAATGAGCGGGGAGGGCGTGGTCGGGCCAAGTTCCCAGTTGGTTGAGCTCTATGGAGTAGGTGTTCAGCCATTCCTGCCCAAAGTTCCGGTTGCGGTTCCTTTCTTGGCCTCCTGGCCAGACCCGTAGATCTGCACGCCGCTTCCCCAGCCGACCCACTGCAGACCTCGCCATGGGCCTGGAACTCTATCTGGACCTGATGTCCCAGCCCTGCCGCGCTGTCTACATCTTCGCCAAGAAGAACGGCATCCCCTTTCAGCTGCGCACCGTGGAACTGCTCAAAGGTGGGCTGGGTAGGCAGGCTGGGGAGTATGGGCGGGGTATGCAGGCGGTCCTCTCCCTGTAGGCGTCGCTTAGTGGTCCGGTGTACAAACTAGAGGGAAGCCCATCTCCAGTGTGGAAGCCTTTGCATCAGTTGTCAATTGTGTATTTTTAAGAACCCTAATCTTTGCCTAGTGAATACAAGACATTCTTCAAAACATAGAATAAAAGGGAGAAGGCAGTCCTTGGATAGAAGAGGCAAGTGGAGAAAGGGCCAGACTATCCTCACCTCTAGGATTGGAGAAAAAGATCGAAATACCTCTTCATTTCCAAGATGAAGTTGTCCCCAACTGTTGCGTTTCTGCATCCTCTGGCAGGAGATGGCCCCCATTTGGAGGTCTTATCTTCGCTCCTATCTACCCCATCTAGTTCTCTTCTACTTTCATGTCTTCCTTGCCATTCTTCGGCTTTTTTTTTTTTTCCTTGCTAATGACTTGCTCCTGTCCCTGGTGGTTTCCACTCACTGGCAGGGCTCTGAGGGCTCTGAAGAGCCCTGTGGCAGGGCAGTAGGGAAGACCAGCACTCTTACCTTAGAAGCAGTGTTGCTAGTCTGACTGACCTGGAAAAACAGCTGCAGCAGAATCTAGTAAAGGAGGCAAGAGGTAACCAGCCCAGATGAAGGTCCCTGCTCAGCTGAGCCCTCCCATTGGCCCAGCGTGAGCCAACTGCTTTGGGACATAGTGTGGGTACAGGTAGTTTCTGGAGGTAGAGTGGGCAGGGAAATGGTGTCCATTCAGTGTAAAGAAAAAGACACCCATAGGTAAGTCTATGATCAGCTGAAGGCTGGCTTGGTGGAGGCCCCCTGACTCCATACATACTAATTGGGCACTTAATGTACCCTCCAGCATTAGGCTGGGCTTGGATATAGGGTCTGTGGAAGTGATTCAGACTTGGGAGCCCATTTTTTAAAATATTTTTTTTATTGTAGATGGACACAATACCTTTATTTAGCTTATTTATTTTTATATGGTTCTGAGGATCGAACCCAGGCATACATATGAGGCAAGCATTCTACCACTGAGCTACAACCCCAGCTTGGGAACCCATCTTGAGAAGGGAGTTTTGAGGGTTTGGCACAGGAAAGAAAGAAGTGCTGAGCTGTTAAAGGCTAAGTGGCTGAATGGGGTCCGTGTTCCTGGATGGACAGATGGGAATAAGAGTGGCTGAAGCTCTGGGATTGTGAACAGGTCACCCAGCCTGGTTTGAAGGGCTTGATCCCCCTCCTTTCCCCCAGGGTAGGAAGAGAAATCAGAAGGGAAAAAGTAGAGCTCAGAGAGGGGACTAGAGTGCCTGACATGGATGGAGCTGGCTGAGGTGTCAGGTGGATTATGCTTCTAGAGTATCACCCTCTCCTCGGGCCCAAGTTGAAATTCTGCTTGGCACAGGCTCCATTTGTGTGGGCACAGGGAAAGTGAAGTGATATATGATCCTGAGACAAGCACAGTGTTCACCTCTTCCTCTATGCTCCCAAAAGCTGGTACCTGAATTTAGAGGTGAGGGCAGCCAGAGACTTCAGAAGACTTGAAGTTCTCCACATTTACCTCACTGATCTCTCCTGCAGGTCAGCACTACACTGATTCCTTTGGTCAGGTGAACCCTCTGAGGAAGGTGCCAGCCCTAAAGGATGGGGACTTCACATTGGCTGAAAGGTAATGGATCCCTGGCCTGTGGCCAAGCCTGTGGGGCCACTCAGCCAAGCCTGTCTATGTTCACTGTTAATAGCTGGGACCACAGCTTGTGTGTCCCAAATTCCCGTGTAGCTGCAGGGTATAGTGTGGGCAGAAGCAGACAGAGGTGTCCAGGGATAGGAGGGGCTGTTGAACTTATGGAACATCTGTTTGCCCCTGTATGGTACAGATAAGAAAACAGGATGGGAGAGGGCAGGGATTTCCACAAGGTTGTAGGCCAAGACTGCTTTTAGGCCTCTTCCCTGCTAATCCATGCCTCAGAAAGAAGGAGAATGCTAAATGTGGAATAGTGGCAGCACTGGGTATCTCAAAGCAATCACTGCTTCCTTATATCCTTGGGTGAGTGATATTTCCCTGGGAGATTAAGGAAACACCCAGTGAGCTCAGTGGCTATTTACCAAGCACCCAACCGCATCGGGAATCATCTAGGCCCTGGCCTGTGGTGCTCACATTCTAGAGGAAACTGACAATCATGACATAAACAAGTGGGGGTTCTGTGGAGGAAATAAGTGAAGGTGCAGTTTTGAGTGGGTGGTCAAGGGAAGAACTGCTGAGGGGGTAGCATTTGAGCAGGAACTTGTAGCCTCAGATGCAAGGTACGTAGAGAGAGTGTTCTGGTTGAAGGGAAGAGCAAGGGAGAAAGTCATTAGGTGGGACCTTGCTAGGGGTGCAGGCTAAAAAGCAGGGATTCAATATGGCTGTGGTGAGAAGGCAGAGCAGGAAAGGGGAGGGCAGGGGAGGGAAAACTTGGGCTTTTCCCGTAGGTGAATGGGACCATTGGAGGGTTTGAGCAGGGGTGTGCCACAACCTGCTCTGTTAATTTAGAAACTGGTGAGGGACTTTGGTTGAAGGATTAAGAAAAACACACAACATTTAGACCGAAAAGCGGGGTCAGGTGGAAAACTGAACTCTGAACTCTGACTGAGAACAGTGACCTAGAGCTGGCTTCACATTTTTTTTTTTTTTGGTACTGGGGGTCATTTGACCACTGAGCCACATCCCCAGCCCTATTTCATGTTTCATTTAGAGACAAGGTCTCACTGAGTTGCTTAGTATCTCGCTTTTGCTGAGGCTGGATTTGAACTTGCCTCCTCCTGCCTAAGCCTCCTGAGCCACTGGGCTTACAGGTGGTAACTCTGTACTTTTGCACAGAGGAATGTTAACCCTGTACAGGGGAATCCCAGTGCAAGTACACCACAACCATGAGGTAATCTGACACCTTAATTCACATCACCGCTCCCTATAGAGGAGAGCTATGTTTCCTCTTATATGTGAAATGATCTCCCTGCCTGGGGTGAGAAGTCTACCAAGGAAATACAGGAATAAGGTGCTAGGCCCCAGGTCAACATGGTGGTGGTACACCATGGGGAATGATTGACTCTTAAGTTCTCTTCAGAGTCAAATAACTGCATGATCTCTAGAAAGGCTGGACACAAGTGGGAAAGATGGGGAGCCAAGGTCAGCCCAAAGGGTTGGTGACTGAATGGTGGTGGTATCCTTTACCAAGGTCACAAAGTATCTTCTTGTTGGAGCCAGATTCATGCTCACAGCCACTTGGCTGTAGAGCCTGGGGCTCAGGCATAGTCCAACACCCAGGGAGGCACAATGAGCTCTGGGGGTCAGGTTGCACACACCAGACACAGTAGGGAAACCGATGAGAGGAGGTGAGGAAAAGTTTTCTGGATGAAGGGGCTAAAAACTTTTAGCCGTTCGGGAGAAGGTGAGACCGGGTGGCAAGTAATGTCCTCATGTCACCTAGGAGAATTCTCCCAGTCTCAAGAGAATCAGGAGGGGCAGTACCCTTGCTGGCTTTGTCCATCCTTTGGATATGGTGGGGAATAGTATTCAAGTTGCTCTAATCCCTCAAGACTGGGTACCCTTTCCTCCTGGAAGACTTAGCTCTGAGTCCCTGGCTCCTTCCGAAATCCATGGCATTTTATTTCTCATTTGGCATCCTTTGTTCAGATGATGAGATGGCCCAGTGTAGAGCTGTGTGACCTTGGGCAGTCACTTGACCTCTCTAAGCCTCTTGTTCCTGCTCTGTATAATGTGGATAGTGAAAATGCCCCCACCAAATGGCTGAAGAGTGACCAAGGCATGTCCTCCACCCCTGCCATATTCCCATAGTGTGGCCATCCTCTTGTATCTGAGTCGCAAGTACAAAGCCCCTGATCACTGGTACCCCCAAGACCTGCAGGCCAGAGCCCGGGTGGATGAGTACCTGTCCTGGCAACACACCACCCTGCGGAGTTGCTGCACCAGGGCCATGTGGCAGAAGGTGAGTCATGGGAGACAAGGACACCTCTCAGAATGTTTAAGTGATGGTGCTATTTAGAATCTCCACTCACAATTGAAGAGAGATCAGCAGAGTAAATGAAAAGGATCAGGGAGCAAGAAGAAGAGGGAAAGGGGAAATAATGGGGAAAGATATCGGACAAATTATTATATCTTGTGTATGAATGAACATGTAACAATGAATTCCTCAATTATGTGTGTTTATAATGCATCAATAAAAATGTGAAAACTTTCATTCACATACAAGACCTTAGAACACCAAATTTTGGAATACCAGAGACTTCCAGTCACAGTATTGATGAACATGGACTAACTACGTCCCAGGGTGTTCATATATACTACTTGAGAATTCTGGAGTTAGAGGTGGGGGGGATTTGGCTAGATGACTGTTGCACTGGGGAGGGCTCTGTGTTGAGGAGCCATGTAAAGCTTTATGGAGGAACATCTTGGGGAGGAAAAAAATAAACTGTGGGACTGGTATTGAATGGGATAAGGGCAGGAAAAAGGAGGGGCATTAAGTGAAGCCTGACCTTCTCTCTACCTGCGGGCCCATCCAGATGTTGTTCCCTGTGTTCCTGGGCCAGCCAGTGCCTCCTGAGACACTGGCAGCCACTTTGGCTGAACTGGATAGATGCCTGCAGCTGCTTGAGGACAAGTTCCTGCGAAACCAGGCCTTCCTTACTGGGTCCCAAATCTCTTTGGCTGACTTGGTGGCCATCACAGAGCTGATGCATGTGAGTTCCATGGAGTAGGGTGAATAGTGAGAATTCCTGTGGGGAGCTAATGTCTCCACTTATATTTCCGATCCTGGAGGAATCACTTCACCCTCTAAGCATCAATCTCCTCATCTGTAAAATGAACCTTCATAAGCCCTAACTGCAGGGATGTTGGGGGACTTCCCAGTGTGCCCTGGGAGGGGGACCCCAATTTCTCACACACGGTGAAGGAGGGAAAATTCAATCTGAGAGCTCTAAAGCAGGTCATGCTGCCTTGTGCTTGGTTATACACAGCCCCCTCCCCACTTTCTCCTCCCCATAGCCTGTCAGTGCTGGCTGCCAAGTCTTTGAATGCCGACCCAAGTTGGCTGCATGGCGCCAGCGTGTGGAGTCTGCAGTAGGAGAGGACCTCTTCCAGGAAGCCCATGAAGTTATCCTGAAGGCCAAGGACATTCCTCCAGCAGACCCCGCCTTGAAGGAGAAACTGAGGCAGGCATTGCAGGGTTTGTTGCAGTGAGTGAGTGGCCCTGGCCAGTAAAATTACCAAGGGAAATGCTGGGTTGTCAGAATAAAGAGATGAAGCTGCTTGTTTCCTTTGCTGTAGGTAGGACATGTCCACACAGTCTGTTCACAGTTCTGTCCAAGTATCAGGTTTGCATTCCTTTTGTGTCCTCATGACACTTTTATTAGGCTTCTACCTGACCTTTGGAGAGAGCTTTAGTAAACACATAAATGGCCTTATCCCTCTTCTTTGGAAACTTTCCATGTATCCCCACTTCCTTGAAGTTAAAGTATAAGTCATTGCATGTGGCATTAAAGATCTTGCTCCTACCCCTACAAGCCTCCCTGCCTCCTAACTGCATTCATTTCATACCCCTGTCCTATTCCTACCTTTGGCCTCCTATCTTTGGCTCATGCTGTTTCCTCTTCACCTTCTCTGCCAGATACTACTCCTGTTCTTTGGCATTTGGCACCATGTTGCTTCTCCAGGGAGACATCCCTCACCTCCCCATCCCCAGGCAAGAATAGCTGACTTTATGGGATCCTCAGCTCCAATGTTTCCCTCCTTCAGTCCTGGCAGGGAGCAAGCTCCATGGCCCCTGGGCTGAGCACATGTCATAGATGTCGGGTGACCCTGTGCAGAAGTCTGATCTGGAATGGTCTTGGTCTACTAAGTCTCTCTCCCTCTGTAGGAGACAGGCAGGGTACAAGGCTGTTTCATGAACCTCTTTGCAGAGAGGGCAGTCCCTGGTTAGGAAAGCCCTGTTTCTGGCCCCAATAGCCTTGTTCCCCCATACCTATTCCTGATCCCAATCATTGTCTTCCTATGCCCAACTCTAGGTCCCAAACTTACCAAGGTTTAAGTCTGTGTCATAGCCTGCTTGTTCTTATAACACAGACCCTCTGATATCTGAGTCATTGTATAAATAAACTGCTAACAGAATTATCAGGGTAATGACAATCTCTTAGCCCACATCTCTTCCTACGAAGACCACTTTGATATGCATTCTTAGAATTTCTTATGTGTGATTGAACAGATTGTCTTGTTTTAACAACTTTTGCCACCACTCGCACAAAAGGGAACAAAGGAGGAGATGCCCTTGCCCAGGGGTCTTTCACACTCTCAAATGCACCTACACTTGCCACTACAGGGTCTTGATTTAACATCAGAGCAGCATCTTAAATATTAACCACTATCTTATGAGATAAGTTTCGCTTTCCTGTATTTCCTCTTACCTGAACTCCCCCCACTCCATTATTGACCTACCACGTGATACCATAACTCTAAGCCAATCCCAGAAGGACACCATCCCTTGACTCTGGAACTACTCTTGGTGCCATTGACCTAAGCCATGCTATTCCCCACCCACCTAGCTCTGATGCAGGCACCTGAGTCTATCCCTTAGGGGCATAACTACAACTCCAAACCCCTACCCCATAAAAGCTGAACACTCAACCTCTCCACTCTATAGAGAGATGGCCTTTATTTGTCAGCTTTGACAAATAAACCTTTGTATGGATTTCTACCTCGTCTCTGTCCTTCATTTCTCGCTCTCCTGCCTCTTGCTTGCTCACTTTCCTTTCAGTCACCGGGATTCCAAACTGAGAGAAGGGCAAATTCCCATATTGATGGTGAATTCTTTGACTATGGAATGGTGGCAAATGGTTTAAAAACAAAAACAAAAGTTAAACCTGTGTGGCAATGGTTATTAGGGTCGAGTGAACCTATAAAGGCCCCTACAGACCTGTTAGTATTGGGAGTATTCAGACCTGCACATTAGTGAAGCCAGAATTAGACATGCAGTCAGCATAGATAGGTAAATCAAGTCACGTCAGATCAAGGAGGCCAATTTTGAGTGAGTCCAGGAAGTTGGAGACAGTCCCCTGAAGGATTGAAGTGTTAATTCCTTCAGAGCCCTTCCTCTGCCCTTATCAAGAACTTGCCCCTGCCTCCAGCCTGTTGCCAGTGTAACCTGTCCCAGGAATTGCCCCTCCCTGTAGGGAGCCACAGGTTATTAATTGTCCTTGGCTGCTTCATCCTGCCCTTCTCCCTTCAACCCAACTGTTTCCCACTTTTTGGCCATCCCACCCAGCATTCCTGGGCCTAGTCACCTACACAGGAAGGAGAAGGGGAAGAGGGCAGGAGAACAGAGGAAGCCTAAGACATAAAAAGGGCAGTACACCTCACCTATTAGGATACCAGCTATGGCCCCACTTCTCCCTCCTGGAAAAAGTCTATGTTACCCCTTCTTAAAATAAACCCTGCTTTATATGCTTCTGTGAGGATGCAGAACTTGTCACTGACAACCAGCAGTATCATCATAAGCATGGATTAGGAATAGTTTAGCGCAACAACTCAAAGTCAGGAAAGGGAAAATCACGACAGGCCGCCGCGTCCCGCCCCCCAGGAGTGGGCAGGCCGAGAGTGGCCAACCTCCAGTCCGAGGTGGGATTACACCTAATTTACTGGAAGGTAGAACTACCGGAAATTTGGTGCCCAGCTAACGTGACTGAAGGGATGGGGTGGAACTCTGGAAGCCAATCGGAGAGCACTGGCTCTGCCCAGCCAATGAGGAGCTTGGTTACTGCGGCGCTCCGCCCCCTCTCCGTATTCAGCTACTGGAAACGGGAGCTGGACTCTGCGTTCTTCACCGTAGTCCCTCTTGTTGTCCACCGATATGCCGTTCATTGAGCTGGACACCAACTTGCCTGCCAACCGCGTGCCTGCTGGGCTGGAGAAGAGGCTCTGCGCGGCCACCGCCGCTATCCTGGGCAAACCCGAGGACGTGAGCAAGGGTCGGGTTTCCCTGGGAGCTTGGGAGCCAGGGGTCGGGCCCAGTCCATTCTCTGCCTCACCACAGGGACCCCCCCCCGCCCCGCCCCGCATACACCAGTCTTCTCCCCAGGGACTTTCATAGGCCGGCCAACCTTTGACCTTTTGTGCCCCTGACGAACCCGCAGCCCTCTTTTCCCGGTCTGCCCTTGTCGCATGTTCCCTGCCTGACCTCCGAGGGCCCATCCTGGTGTCTTGACCCTTTGCGTCCTGGCTCTCACGCGGTCCCATGCCTAACGCCAGCCCCACCGGCTCTATACTCAGGTGAAACTTTTGTATTTCTCGCAGCGTGTGAGCGTTACTGTGCGACCGGGTCTGACCATGGCAATGGGCGGAACCACAGAGCCCTGTGTCCAGCTGGTGGTCTCCTCTATTGGCGTCGTGGGGACTGCAGAGGATAACCGTGGCCACAGCGCCCAGTTCTTTGAGTTCCTCACTAAGGAGCTGGCCTTGGACCAGGACCGGTGGGTAGCAGTAGTGAGGATCCCTTTGGTACTGATGTGCAACCAGAAATAGCGATCTTGTTTCAGGATCCTATCTGAGATTGAGGGAAAGAACATTGGCCTAGATGTCTGGGCCCAGTTCTGGGTCCCTCACAGGTGGGGGACCCAAAAGAAAACTAGAAATGAACCATCTCCATTTTCTAGCCTCCTCTTCTGTGAGCAGAGAGAAAGGTTAAATGACCTCTCTTCCCCCAAACCTGGAACACTGTGATAAGGTTAAAATTTCCTGCTGAGTGAAAAATATTCCCTAGCCAACCCTATGTCTGTGAGGAACTAAGGACATGAGAAACTTGAAAGGACCTTCCAAATGAAGCCCTTGTTGACTCAGGGAGGCTGGTGAGGAACAATTGCTCCTGGTGGGTGTTCAGATTCTTAGACTGAGGAGAGAGAGTAACTCTAACAATAAATTACGCATTAATGCCTACTGTGTGCCAGGAACTCAACACACATGATCCCATTTGATCTGTACAAGCCCTGACCCCTTAGTGAAGACCTGCCATCCCATGAGATAGATGACTGCATTTTGCTGACTTGGCAGATGGGGAAACTGAGGCTGTCACCTGCTGCCAACCACCCATCCCCTGCCAACCTGTCTCCATCCCTGATGCTCTTCACCAAGAATTTCCTGTCATCTCTGTGAAAGGGGCACATTCAGTTATTCCACAGACTTTATGGTCACCCTGTGCCTGACCTTGAGTCAGACTTTGAGAAAAGAAAAGTGCCTGATGCCTTGAGCATACCCCATGCAGCCTGCATTTAGGAGGGAAGACTGTCCTTCTGAGCCCACAGACTGGCAGACTCAAATGAGCACATAGCATACCCACTAAGGCCATGGTATTGTGTCTCTCTTGGGTGGGCCATGCTGATGTGCAGCCATCATCTTGTACTTGATAGTCCCATTATCCTGTTTGGGACCAGGAGAAGATCATTAACTTGGATGAGCAGGCTGTTAAATACTTCATGGGCTGATGAGGGAGCACCTGGTAGATGTCTTGCAAAGTGAATTTTTTTGAAGGAGCTGACATCCTTTCTCTGTTTCCCAAAGGATAATTATTCGCTTTTGCCCCTTGGAACCCTGGCAGATTGGAAAGAAAGGGACCGTCATGACATTTTTATGATTGGCACAAAGGATCCAGGGCATCTGTGAGTTGGCTGCCCCTTCCAGAGTATATTCTTGGCAGAGTCAAGGCCTGGTGGATGTCACCTTTGGGAACCCTTGTGCATATTTGTCTATGACCTCATAGTTTTTTTTCTCCCATATCCTTTTGCCAAATAAACAAGGAGCTCTTCAGCATTCAAACATGAGTTCTTTACTTCCCTACTCCACTCCCCAGCATCCTGGTCCAGTATGGACAGAGGGTAGGTTTATAAAGAGGGGACCCTAGGAAACATGGATGTGGGATGTTTCCTATTTCTAGGGCTGCTGTTTGATATATTTACAGTGCTAAAATATGTGGGTGGGTCACCCAGCCTGGAGGTTCTGCTCTGTACACCCATGTGCAGAGGGTGGGAACATGGGGGAAGCTGTTCTAGCCTGGAACTTTCTGTACTCTGCTGATATCCTGAGAATCCTGACCTCAGTCTGGGTTGACCTGGACCCTTAGTTGTCTTTAGTTTGCTGTGCTAGCCAAAAACAGGGTTAGCTTCATTTCAGGGAACTTCCTTGGACCTCAATTTGCACCTTGATTCTTGCTGAGAATTCTCTGGAGCGGTTCACTTCATATAACCTATGCCAAACATGGGACATACAACATCCACCAGCATGCCAGCTGTATAAATGCAATGTCTGCAAGTATAAACTGGATGAATATCATCCCTGCTCCCCATCTAAATACCAGATCATGATTTTATGTTTCAAAGTGTATACAGGTTGAGTGAGAGGAGTACAAAGGAAGTCTCCATCTCTAGCTTTCCAGTGTTCCATGCAGAGTTTACAGTTCATGACCCTTAGATACTAGTTAGCACAGTTGGAGGTCCGATGATTTATTTTTAGTGCATCAATGAAATAACAAATTCAAATTTTCATTTTCTGGGGCTAGGGGATGTGGCTCAAGCGGTATTTTGCGCTCACCTGGCATGCGTGCGGCCCAGGTTCCATCCTCAGCACCACATACAAACAAAGATGTGTCCGCTGAAAACTGAAAAATAAATATTGAAATTCTCTCTCAAAAAAATTTCATTTTCTGTGCAGTCTACATAGTTAATAAAATGAGTTTCCAATGCATATGCCTCTTCCTGCTGTGTTTGTACTTGACCACTTCTGAGGCTTCTTATTAAAAGCTAAACCTTGCAGGCTGGGGTTGTGGCTCAGTGATAGAGCATTTGCCTAGCATGTGTGAGGCCCTGAGTTCAATTCTCAGTCCCACGTATCTATAAATTAAAAAAAAAAAAAAAGAAAAGATCCATTGACAACTTAAAAAAAATATTAAAAAAAAAAAAAGCTAGACCTTGGAGTTCCTTTGCTTGGCTTATATCAAGTATTTTTGTAAACCTTCCTTATGTCCAGTAGTTTCACAGGTTGGATCTCTGAGTTGCAGATATTTCCCTCAGCCTTATCAAAAAAGATCTGATTCTCAACGTGAGCTGCAAAGATAAATCAGAACAGCA